TAGCCAGGCATTGTGGTGGGCGCCTTTAGTCCCAGCTACTTGGGAGGCTGAGGCAAGAGAATTGCTTAAGCCCAGGAGTTGGAGGTTGCTGTGAGCTGTGATGCCACAGTACTCTACTCAGGATGACAGCTTGAGGTTCTGTCTCAAAAAAAAAAAAAAAGCACACCTCCAAGTGGCAGTTGGAAAGATTCTGGAGGCAATGGATCTAGGCCAGCCATCGTCAGCACGCAGTAGGTGGTGGCTCTGACATGGGCCGCATGTCCGTCCCTGTCTCAGACAACTGTTCTTCTGGCCTCTGATGCCTCAGCTACCTCCATGCTCCAGCCCAGCCCATGTCACCTGCTCTTGCTAGCCCAGCAGGACATACTGGCCCCTGACCACTGGGAAAGGGAAATTTATGAAAAGAGTTAAAGAATTGAGGCCATAGGGGGCAGGGGCCGCACAGGCCTTTGAATGGGATGAAAAGGCCTGGAGAGGCTTGGCTAGTTCACATTGTCTGCCTTGGACAACAGTGCCTGACCCTCAAGAGGGAACCTGGGGAGGGGCAGGGGCTGCAGCCAGGACATGGGCCAGGGCAGGCTTGAACATTGTCATCGAATCCAGAAAGATGAATTTAAACCCAGCTCTTCCAGTAAAACCCCTTGAGCCTAGAAGATTATGTTAATATTCTGGGGTCTCAGTTTGCTCATCTCTTGAATGGGGTGGGTTTTCCTGCTTCATTCAGCTGGTGAAAGATTAATGATGACACTGTACATAGAGCTCCACAGTGCCAGGTTCTAGGAGATACTCCATTAAGGCCAGCAAGAGACTGTTCCCCGCCACTAGGAGAGCAGCAGGAAGGCAGAGTGATCCCTCTTGTCTCTGTCTCAAATGCCAGGTTCCCAGGGAGCTTTCAACACTGACCCACTGGGCTGTGGAGACTCCACCCAAGTCCTTCCTCTGAAAGAATTAATAGCCCTGGTACTAAAAAAAGCCAGTAGCAGGGAAAAGGGGAGGCGAGTCCCTGAAGTGTCGGCTGGAAGGTGTCGTGGTCCTTTCCCGTGGCAAGAAGGGCTCTTGGACGGAGAGGGCTGGGGGGCGGGGGGCGACAGAAGTTCGGAGAGGTTTCTGTCCTCGTTGTGCCCTTTCCCCCCTCCCATTGAACTGGGCTTAAGGGAAAGGAGTGAAAGAGGCTGCTGGCTCCTCCGGATACTTGGGGTGAAGGACCTCGCACTCCCGAGAGCTCCACCGCTTTTGGCACTGAGGTAGAGACGGGTCGTTTCTCAATCCCGGCCTCGCACGGCGCTGGCGTGTGTGCTTATGCCGGACTCCCAGCCGCCCGCCCCCGGCCTGGAAGGCAGGCACAGAGGTAGCGGGAGTCCTTACCTGCGCCCAGAGAACGGGGCTCCCCCGACGCTCCACGCGGCGCCGCCTCCCGGGAGCAGGAGCCCGAGGCAGAGCAGCGCCCAGGCTCGCG